AACAAATTTTATCTTCGATGTTGTTCCCTCGAGCCCACCCCCCACCCGGACATTCCGAGAGTGGAGTGAGTTTACGTCCGGAGTTCTGAGTGCTCGAGGGATCCATCATCCTTAAGTTCTTTGTTTTGGAAGATAACCGACTGCATAGCTTAGGTGTGGAAACATGCGGACATTTATAAGACACCCTGGAAAAAGCTAACGGGTGGTACCGCCTCGGTCGACTGGCCCTTGTCTACCACCTACTTTTTACGTGTTAATGATATTAAATAGACCTAAAGTGGCCCGTTGGCGGACTTGTACCGCCACCCGGCAATCGGTACTGAGGTATTCCTTAACGCATGTACAATCACTTGAACGGGAAGAAGTTGTATACTGGATACAACAACTTCCGGAACAAGCATTTGCCACGGCCCCGCTCAGTAGGGCACCGATCCAAAAACAAATATCTCGAAAAATATTAGCTTTAGACAGTTCTAACAAGTAAACATTTTTTGTTGTAAAAATACGAGAAAATAAGATTTTTCGGTCAGTTCTTGTATACAGGGTAGCACAAAAAAATTATGATGAGTTATTTACCGAAATAGTGCTATAAGTGGCGCCCTCTAGAAGTTTGGCCATAAAAAATAACGTATTCTTGTTTCTCATACTAGAAAACCTCCCTATATCGAGTTTTATGACAAAATCTGAAATACTTCTCAAGCAATAAGGAAAAATAGAAAATAAAATTGTAACTTTGACACCCTGCATCTCGTAAACCATCAGCTTTTGGACTGAGGTATGGTTAGGTCAATTCACATATTTTGGTCTGTAGTATCTCCAGTTTTGAGATTTCCCAACATATATGAGGAACAGGAGGGGCCCTAACATGGATCCCTGAGGCACGCCCGATAAGTAGGCCTTTTTCTGAATTTTTATTTTGTATCACAAAATATTGATGTCGCTCATTTAGACAATAATGTATCAATCTCAGAGCCAATACGTCATGTCCCATGTATTTACATTCATAAATCAAAATAGTATGACTCAGAGTGCCAAAGGCCTTACTAAAGTCTAGTAAGGTTTCATTACAAACACCCTGCAGGCATGCTACATTTAAAGTAATACTCATATATGTCTGTCTCCAATACCGCACTGATGAGTTGCTAATAAAGATAGATGAAACAGCGTTGTCTGTGGTTGGTCAAAGCAAACGTCCTTTGCCGATGTCGTTGATTGTATGGTCGGCCTTAGCGCTTTGTGCTCGATCCCAACTGAACTAGCTGGCTGAAGATAAATTCCAATAAAAATAGAATAAAAGCGATTCCGTCTAAATAAGGATATATTGAACGGAAAATGCGCGTATCTTAAGAAACATCGCTTGGAACGTGTTCTTTAATTTACATTTCTGCGCAGATTTCAGTCCGACTTCAACACTCGAGGCAACGCTGAGGAAAATTCCCCTTAGGCGGATTGCGAAAAAGTTTTCTTTTAGTTGGAAAGCCCTTTTGTTTTATACGCGAATAATTAGTTTTGGCGTTTCAATTTAACGTGAGGGAGAGTTACAAGTTTAATTGGGTTTGGACACGCCCTACCATATTCGTACCTACTGTTTCAAGTTGTACAAATAATCATACTTTTTTTATTCGGTGAAAAATTAATGATTTTTGATTTTTAGGGGCTTGATTGAAGGTTTATGACTCTTTGGGTACTCACTAATAGATTTAAGATCCTCATTGACCTCCGATTTGGCTGATCGAATGTTGCAACTACGAAAATGATTATAAATTTGAGAATCATCGGCAAAGAACTGAATACTGCAATATTTTACAGTGGTTTGTACATCTGAGATATATAAAATGAATAGCAGTGGTCCAAGCACAGATCCTTGCGGTACTCCATAGGAAATGAGGGACTTAGAAGACAAAACCATATCAATGTTTACCCTCTGAAGTAGATTATCTAACAAGGTCTGGCTACCAAAAAACGATAATTTATTGTATCGAATTCAAAAGAACTAACGAAGTGTTTAATGTAGCTTCTCATGTAGCTATTCTGGTTGAATATCCTAATAATTAGCACAATGCTGAGAACAAGCTTCCACTGTCTATCTTGCGCTTCATCGGCTACTATCTCAAGCACATTGTACTTTCGTGAATAACTTAGACCCTCTTCACATTTAAATATTTCAAACTGGATATTTTCCCTTATCTCTCCGACCTTGAAAGCGGGAGGTATCTCATACGCATTCGAATAAAGATTAGAGCTACAGTTCCTTTTAATACTTGGAGCTGTTATGATATTAGAATAAGGAATAGCTCCATCTCAAATAGTAAAATGTTTGCTTTGATACAAAAGGCAACTTTACACATAATACATCTTGAATGGGGGTTGGCGGTTCAAGGTTAGTGGAATAAAACCGGTGGAACAGCGTTTAGGGGTGGATTGTGGTTTGTATTGTTTCCCTCAATTTAGTGTGGATTAGATTGGGTGGAGATACAACACAAACTCGAATTGAAACGAAAAGGGTTTAATGAAGTGTGAGAGCTAAAATTTTTTAGCACCATCAAAGAAAATGAAATACTAGGTCTGTAAATTCAGTAATGAGACTGATTTTTGTTAATTTTTTTATCCCAATGTAATAACAATTTTATATTACCATCCCTGATTCTGTTGAAATTTTCATCGGTTCCTGATAGCACACCGTAACTCGAAATTGATGTCACTCATCTCCAGAACACACAGTTTTACAAAGAAGTCGCTACAGACAACAAATGACTCGAGCGAGTTCGAACTTATACTGAAGGCAGATCTCTTGTTTCAAGCCCGGCGGCTCCAGTGTTGCCAGATCGAACGCTACGTTGCCAGACTCATTACTTAATTTAAATTTAATTCGAATGACATTATTTCAAATCCTTAAGCGTTTTGCAGACCACCCTGTACTGAAGCACTCGATTGCTATTTACGTTGAACGCCGAGCTTATTGAAGCACGTGTCTTAAAAGAAATAACCACCATGTTTACACGATCATCGCCCACCACGTGTTGCACATTAATCGGAACCATCTGGTAATGGTTTCTATTTCCAATGGCGGTTTGTTACGAGTTGTTCAGAAAATGCATCGGAATGAAATACCGACGATTCGAACAGAAATAACTGGAGGCACGATAAATCTTCTTTTTATGTGACACACATTTTAATCGGGGAATGGATCGTTTTGATTACCTGACAGCCAAATCATACCATGAATATAGATTATTAAAAAAACATTACTTTTGAGAGGGACGCTTTAATATATACAATATTACCAGAAACATTATACAGACAAAAAAAAACTGTTTTGTTTTTTGATCAAAAGCCTTCTTCTTGGTTAAATCAACTGCCTTCAGACCGAATCCGTCGTGTATTTCACGGTAGACGTTTCAAACGACCCATTTCCTACCTCAAACCATTGATTATCATACACGTCCAAAAACCAGGTACCGATCTTTGAAAAAGTATCTCATAGATGACCTAGGATGCCACGTTAGCCAAAATCCATCTTCATAACCTCGACATTTCCCCTGGCCGAGGAAACCGAGCAGTATTCAAAACTACCTGAACCCATCAGTTGGCTCCGAAAGTCCCATAGGAACCCAAGAAACTGGACACGCCCCTCCTGCGGATATTCAATAACAATAAATAGTAAAGCTTTATTTCAGGAAAAATCCGTACAAATTGAAAAACATAAAAAACGGCGATCTAATCGAAGTGGTTTTGTTGATTTTTTTTAAATTGTGATTTTTTTGCGGCACTGCAAAAGTAAATCAAATGCAAAAAAGATAAAAATGTACTAAAGTGATATACCATCAGAAAATTATCTCTTGTTCTAAAATAAAATTATGGCAGCTCAAAAATCAAAATCATAATCAATGTATGTAGCACGCCGAAAAGAAGGTGACGTAGGCACTGCCCTATATTTGAATACGAAATGCCAAACAAAATCAAGAACACTCTAAGAATTTCAGCCAGCAATAATCAATATCTATAATATCAATCCATAAAATACCCAATACCCTGTTCACATCAAGGTCTTTTGTCAAGGGTTTCCAACAAAATTGGCTGCGAAACAGCTACAAGGCAGCTACAAAACAAAGCTGAAGGTTGAAATCCCATTATAAAATGGACGGAGTAGCACCCAAACCAACACAACTAAACGTAAGGTACAAAATAAAAGGCAACTAAATAATAAACTGGTGTTTGGGGCGTTGATATCCCAGAATCTGGAAGTTAACGAAACAACGCCCACACACAACCACAACGGAAAGCAAAAGCAAAATGGCGCCGCCCCGCCAGTAGATGCAACTTTTTAAAACAAGGCATCTTGATAGGAAAGGAATGTATGTCGATAGGTAAAGAAGGTATCTCGATAGGTAAAAAAGGTACCTTGATAGTAAAGTAAATATTACATAGGTTAGTACTTGTAGAAACCACAAGGCGGTGCGTTGGTTGCCAATGTGCAGAAGCAACTCGCTACGAGGGAACAACAATATTTTATGAGGAAATTTCTGAGATAGTCGTTAATAATACTATAACATTAGTGTCCTTAGTCACAACCTCCCAAGCGTTCTCGACATTTCCCCTGGCAGAGGAAACCGAGCAGTATTCATAACTACCTGGAGTTGGCTCCGAAAGTCCCATAACAACCCCAGAAACTGGACACGCCCCAAGTGCGGATATTCAATAACAAAAAATAGTTAAGCCGTAAGCCGTTCATCAAAAGATGAAGGTAAAAAGCCCAGAATCTTTATAAATATGGCTTAAAACATTCATGATTATGAATATAAAAGTATGGTTTTTGAAATAATTCCGGTTTTTTTTTGTACCCATTCGTATAACATGAACAGGCCTAAGGGCGGACATGTTGAGTGGCATAAACCAGACTTGGGGAGCTTCTGCAAAGATTTCGTCTGATCTTGTATGCTTACACACACACATATCTCTAAGTGATTTTGCTCACTCCTCCTATACTACTTTGATATTAGATGACATTTGGCCATTCCAAAGCCACCGTAATAACAGTTGCATTCTTTATTCCAGACGAACCCCGTTTGCGCTCCGGCGGCTGGGAAGAGCCCACGACGCCATGTGATCATCACAACCACCACCCTCACCCCCCACACCCCCGTGTTGCACCACCTTTGGCGCACACGCGCAGTCTGCAACACACGATATCGCAACGTAGCTCAGAAGACAGCTGGTGTTCTGGATCGGAGCCGGACCTGTCTTCGGACGAGGAGAGCGACCGCAGCGCCACCAGCAGCAATCGGTGAGTATATGCGGCGTTGCCACGTGTATTTTTTCAGAAGATTTAATTATTTCACGAGGGAGTATTGTAATCGCGAATATGAGGTATTATGTATTTTGTACATGGCACTTATTGTCGTCGGCCTGTCTCTCTGACTGACCGCTGATCCTTGGCCACTGTATAACTTGGAAAGTACCGCCCGAATTTCGATGACAATTTGACACAATGTTATTGCTATACCAATAACGAGTTACTGGCTTACAGTGGCGGCGAAGCTACGGACAAAAAAACAGAAATATAATGAAAAACGCTCAAGCTTCATTTTCTGACGTTCCAGGCACTTCTCGTTTTCAGAATTATACTTGTAAATGGGTGGGGGTTGCAAGAGATGGGGAAGATATATCGTACTTTTTGGGTCAATATATTCATGCGCTACTAACCGCTTTAATTTCACGCACCTATTACACATATGCGGCAAATACTCATATCGGACGAAAAGATAAATTTGTCACGAAGCGAAGGGGCGGAGACTAGAACATTCTGCAAACCACAAAAAATATTACCCTACAGTAACATTAATAAAGTTTTTTGAAACTTATCAATTCCAACATTCACGTTCCTACAAATGCACGGCCTTTCCGGCATATATATCTTGGAAAAATAAGCAGTTTTCTTCTTAGTAGCATATACATCAAAATCTTAAGATTACCGAGATGTTAAGCTCCGCAAAATCGATAAAACCTAAAAAAAACCTAATCCTGTCCTGCACCTCGATCACGTCAAACGTGAAGACGTCAACAAAACCTTTACACATCGGTTCTAAACATACGTAACACCCTTACAGCAATATCGGAGTTGTCCATATTATTTTAATTTGCGATGAGTGTTTTCGAAATGCTACTGAGGCTTCGCGAATGCATAGAGATCGCTTTTAAGGATCTTTCATGATTTTTTCTTTGCTTGGGGCGAAATGAAATTTTCAGTATATAGAGGCAGTCCATCAAGAGACAAAGATGTACTTGAAATTTCTTTTCAATGAATTTTTTCATTTATTTTTTTTTACTTTTTCGCTGTTTTTTTATCGCACATTAACTTTGTTATTACGAACGTTCTTGTTTCTAAGAAGGAAAGTCCAAAATTTCACTCTGTATACAGGGTGTCCGCAAAGTTGGGGTTGTCCTTTTCAGAAGCAACTACCCTTGAAATAACAAAGGTAATGTGTAGTGAAACGAGGGCGACCAAGTAAAAAAAAAATAAAGGAAAAAGTACTCACTCTCCAGTTGACGAGAAGGGCTAAGTACGTCTCTGCCCGAAATCATACCGCTCCAACAGAAAATGAAATCAGCTGATGCGCTACCGAGCAGACGCCGGCGGTGGTGCAGACCTGTAGACCACGAACAGAGGTAACAAATATGACCATCGTGCAGAAACCACATTGATTGTCTTACAACAAGGAAGGCAAAATGTTGCGTAAAAAGTCTAGGTATTGCATCCCGTCCAATCGATTTGGGAGAATAAATGGTCCAATGAGCATACCGTTCACCTTGCCAGCCCAAACATTCACCGAAAATGTTTGTTGAAAATGACCAAACATGAGTGTTGCGAAAGTTATTCACCCCATTACGCGTGAACGTAGATTCGTCTGTCACCAATATGCACTTCAAAAAGTCCGGATTATTTTTATGTTGATGCAACAACCACTCACAAAACCGCACTCTTGCTGGAAAATCGTCAGGTTGAAGGGCTTGTACACGTTGGACGTGAAACGGATACAGCCCCTCTTCACGCAACGTTTGCCACACTTTAGTTTTTGATACTTGTACTTCTCTAGCCACGTCTCTAGTGCTTGTTGTTTTTTGAAACGCAATAGATTATACGAGTTCATTTACCTGTACACGCGTGACCGTAACCTTCGGTTGAAGGTTGCATACTAAACTGACACACTTACCCCGACCCAGTTCTGCCGTCGGGTTGAGACCTTGTAACAGTCGGGGATATCGCGGCGGGTCGCGGCTACAGGACGGTATTCAGATATTTTTGATGTTGCAGAGCCCTTTATCTCGGTTCCCTTAAGACATTGGTGTATATGGTACTAAGAAAAATTGCTTATGTTTTCAAGATCTACACGTCGTGTAAAGGAAAACCCCTACTTTGCGGACACCCTGTATAGTGCTTTTGAGAAAAACACCCCCATCACCCCTACTTCTTTTCTGAACGGGTCAACTTAGGAAGCTGGAATCTGAGATGGTGGAATTGTCGCATGTCGATGGATTGTCAAAAAAACTGTCAATCAACTCTACCTGTGTACGTCAAAGTGATTTGTTAAGCTGTTTTCAACTGTTCACAACCGTTAGTAATTCATTGCAAGGACATAGCTAATATTTCAGCGTATAAATAACAGTTGGAAGTTTTAAGATGGCTGCTGGCGCGAATATCTACAAATTCCTACCGTTTGAAGAATTCAAAAACGTAGGTAGAGCGCGGAATTTGTGACCAAGGGTAATTTTATTGCACATTCAACTTTTCGAGATAAATTAAACGGCGAATAAATTTAGTCGAAGTTATTGGATGTTCTCCAGATCGTATTGTACTCTTCGCGTATGAATGTATGAATCGAGGCTATTAATAGGTACTTTATTTTTTTTGCATTGTCCATAATTAATTCGACTGTCGTACACAGAACGGCGCAGCGTTTGGAACGAAGATGAGAAATTAATCGTAATATCAGCCTCCGGGCGATTTTATTCCTGGTGCCAAAGTATACATGCTTCAAATAGTAGGTTCACCAACGGTTTTCGGACCTTTTACACAACACCCAGGGGCTGTCGCACGCTTCTACCGCTATGTCAACGGGCTTTGCCCCTTTACAGCTTGAGCGTTGAGCTTGTCAGATGGTCACACCAGGCTTCTAACCTAACTCTGTCGAACTATTTCATGCCCACAGTCCGTTGCCTTCGTAGTTTAAGCACATAAATAAAAATCAATAAAGTGAGCATATGTTATTTTTTTAGTTGGAATATCCAAAAAGTATTCATATTTAAACGATTCCAGGTAATCAAAACAGCGTTAGTCGAATATTTTTTCTTTGTATTCGGATCTTAAGTATCCGAGTACAATTTAAAATGCACTATTCAAGCTTCATATTCGAATACCGGATTTCAGTATTCGACCCAAGTATTGGGGTATATTGTCAACTTGGTACGGAACCTATGGAGGAATACAATCACCTATAGTATAGAATTTGCAGCTTAAGCCATAAAAGCTTTAAAAAATCATCACTATACTACAACTATTTAAAACTGTAATGACTCATACGCGTGATCAACACGTGATCATAGCTCGATCCCGGCTTCCTTCCAGTACAGCCGTATAGCGTACGACATATGTCGTTTCTGTGGCTGTGCGGTGGTCAACAGCACAGACAGAGATGGAAATAATGGCTGATTGTTCTTCGCCGGTAGAACCAATGAAATCAAAGACGCGCCTCGACCGGCAGACTCATAGGCGTCGGCAACGCATTGGAACGTGTTTCGTTGAGCGATCGCATATTGTGTGTTTTTATAAGAATTGTTGTGTGATTGTTATTGTTGTGGTTTCTGTGGTTACTGTTTTGGTTATACTTAACCATGGAGAGCACAAATGGCACGAGTGGAAGTACTGAAAGCCAGGGAACAAGTAGACGGCTTCGTAAAGCACTGAAGAGGGACGCGAAAGAAATCGTGCTCAACGTGTTATCTGATCAGGTGGTGCATGAAAAGAAGAAAACTGGAGCTACTACTGATCCAAAGTTTAATTTGAAGGGACGAAAGGCCGTTAACACATTGACTGCGAACTGGGATGAGGATACCCACCTCAGAAACTGAAATACTTTTTTCCTTTTTTTGGAAGCCGGCAGAGAGCGTCGAAAGACGCCGTTCGCCTCCCACCACAGGAGCGGAGGGCGTCTTTTGACGCTGTTCGCACTGAACGTGTTAAATTGGACGACGATGGCAAAATGGCGTTAAGGCGAACTGTACATTCATTCTTCTTTAGGAATGAGATACCAACCCTCAAGGCTGTACATGCAGCGATCAAGGAAAATGAAATTATACCCCAAATGAGCGTCGAGGTAATGAGGAAATCCCTGCATGAAATTAATTTTCATTACGAAACGCGTAATCGGAAGTCAGTATTGATAGAGAGACCTGAAATAGTCGCCTGACGTCGAAAATACCTACGCGAAATGATTGAATATAGGCGACAAAACAGAAAAATCTATTATTTGGACGAGACATGGGTAAATGCAGGTCACACAGTTGAAAAAACCTGGATAGACAAAAACGTAGTGAGTAACCGACAAGCAAGCATTGAAGGTTTGTCAACAGGTCTTCGTGGACCGTCAGGGAAAGGTCAAAGATTGATCGTAACTCATATTGGTAGCGATAGTGGCTTTTTAGAAGAGTGTGACTTGATTTTCGTCTCTAAGAAAGGAGGTGATTACCATGACGAAATGAATGCCAGCTGCTTCGAGAGCTGGTTTCAAGGGGTGCTTCAGCGAGTTGAGCCCAACTCTGTGATCGTCATGGATAATGCTTCCTACCATAGTCGTCGAGCCGAACGTGTACCGACTATGGGATCTCGAAAAAGTGACAAGCAGCAATGGTTGCGCGGAAAAGGAATCCCGTTTGACGATTCATGTGTGAAAGCGGAATTGTATGAAAAAATTAAACAGCACAAACCTGCGAACATTAATTACGTGACTGATGAGATGGCCCGTCAATGTGGTGTCACTGTGAGGCGGTTACCGCCCTACCACTGTGAACTGAACCCAATAGAGCTCATCTGGGCTCAAGTGAAGGGTTATATTGCGCGCCATAACACAACCTTCAAATTACCAGACGTTAAGGTTTTACTTGAGACTTCCATACAGCTAGTAACGCCCGAAGCTTGGCAGAATGCTATTTGTCATGTTGTGAAGGAAGAAACAAAAATGAGGCAGCTTGACCACCACATCGACACCATCATAGAGCCAATTATAGTCA